TGGCTCAGTGGTAGAGCCCCTGCCTAGAATCCCCCAGTAAGGGACTGGGGTGTGGCTCAGTGGTGGAGCCCCTGCCTAGACTCCCCCAGTGAGGGGCTGAGGGTGTGACTCAGTGGTAGAGCTCTGACCTAGAATTCCCCAGTGAGGGGCTGAGGGTGTGGCTCAGTGGTAGAGCCCCTGCCTAGACTCCCCCAGTGAGGGGCTGAGGGTGTAGCTCCTACCCAGGATGAGTCCTAGGTTCCATCCCCAGTAGAGGGAGAAAAATAATATGTGTTTCTTCCATACATCTTTCCACATATGTAAGTCTGCCTCATTTTGTGTAGTGCTTAGTAGACTTGTCATGAAAATCACTCATTCGGCCTTCCAAGACAATAATAACCCTAAGCTAGTCTACGTCTTGGAACTACATTATTACTCCCAGCAACTTCTGGGACCTGAGATCTCGATGAAGATTCTGACTCCACCATCCAAGCTTCAATTTGAAAGGGGCTCCACTTCCCAAAGCTCCTAAATATGTATTAAAGAAATACAGTCATCAAGACTAGAGAGGTGGCTCAGTGGTTAAGAGTACTGGGTTGCTCTTCCAAAGGACCAGAGTTCAATTCCCAGTACCCACATGGCAGCACAACTGTCTATAACTCCAAGATCTGACACTCTCACATAGACGTACATGCAGGCAAAACACCAGCACACATAGAATAAAAATAAACAAATAAATAATTAAAAATGCATCATAGCTGGATATGACAGGTAATCCCAACTCTCAAAATGCTGAGGCAGGGGGTTTGCTCTAAGTTTGAGGCCAGCTGGGGCTAGCACACAAGAACCTGTATCAAAGAAACAAAAAGAGGGGCTGGGGATGTACTGTGTTGGTGGAATACTTGCCTACCATGCCTGAAGCCCTGGGTTCGATCCCCAGCACTGCAGAAACCCAGTGAGGTAACGCACATCCTGGAGGTGGAGGCAGGAGGGTCAAAAGTTCAAGGCCACTCTCAGCTCTATATCAGGATCCAAGCCAACTTGAGGTACAGAAGACCCTGTGATTGGTCAGGAACAGTGGGAAGCAGAGGCAGGAGGATCTCTGCGAGTTCCAGGCCAGCCTGGTATACTTAGGTGGGTTCTAGACCAGCCAGGACTATACAGTGAGAGTCTGTCTAAACCAAGACAAGAGAGAGAGAGAGAGAGAGAGACAGAGAGAGAGATGGGGGTGCTAACTGTCCAGATTTTAGCTCAGAGAGGAATACAATCACACAGAAGACACAGGCAGAGGCCTCTGACCAGAGAGCTCACTGGTTCCCCACCATCACCAAAGCCACCAAGCCTAGATGGCCCTTGGAGCACTTGGATTCCACCATCCCAGGAGGAGAGCTGGAAATCACCTCCAAGACACCTCTACCTCCTTCAGCCCCATCCCCAGATGCCTTTTCTGAAGTAACTGCCAGAGATGAGTCGGACAGGGAATGACCTTGCGGCCACACACACAATGACCCAGTTGCCTGTGGAATCCAGCAAAGAAAAGGGAGGAAGCCTGACCCCATTTTTTTCTATGGACTGGAATGACAATGTGAGGAGGAAATGGAATGAGGAGGCCTGGGATGGGAGGCAGAGAGTGCCTGGCATCAGACGACTGCCGCTGTCCGCCTTTAGAACCAAGGGAAGCTTCTCATTCTGGCACACAGAGGGAGTCACAGCAGCCGCTGCCAGTCACTGGTTGGAGCTCTCAGTGCCCCCCCCACCGCCACCATACTGTGTTTTAGGCCACCATACTGTGTTTTAGAGGCAGGAGATCAAAGCCCTTAGACCTGTGATTTCTTCTCTCTTGGATTGACAGCCTCAGGCTTTCTTTGGGTTTCGGGTGGTTTGTTTTGTGCTTGGAGGCAGGGTTTTGCTACAAAGCCCAGGCTGACCTGGAAGCCAAGCGCCTCCTTCCTCAGTCTCCTGAATGCTGGCAGGGCAGGGGCACCCAGCCACACCCAGCTACACCCAGCTACAGAATTCTTCCCAAGGCATAAATGGCTCCCCACTCTTCATACTCCATTTCCCACGGCCTTCTCTGTGTTCCACAAACCCAGAGGAGTAAAATAAATACATAAATATGAGAATTGGGCTGGTGGGGGCAGGGTGGGTGGCCAGATGACTCATGGGTAAATGCATTTGCTGTTAAACCCGATGTCCCGACTTCCGTCTCCGGGGTCCACATAGTGGGAGGAGAACTGACTCACAAAGTTGTCTCTGACTTCCACATGCATGCCCTGTCATACGCACACATGCACGCACGTACGCGTGCACACACACACACACACACAAAGTTCAAGAACTAAGCTGGGGTGCGGCTCAGCCTGTAGAACGCCTGCCTCAGCACGAAGCCAGCCCCATGTAAACCACGCAGGGTTGTGTACAACTGTGGTCTCCCAGGGGAGGCAGAAGCAGGAGGTTTCAAGTACATAGGTTCTAGGCTAACCTGGGCTACAGAGTGACACCCCGAAACTAAAGAACCAGTCTCTTTGACTCGGTGTCATGGTGCACACCTGTAACCGCAGCACTCCAGAGGTGAAGTAGGAAGACTCATCAGTCCAAAGTCCATCCTAGGCAACAAAACCAGTTTGAGGCCAGCCTGGGCTACCAAAGACCCTGTCTCCAGAAAGCGAGAATCAACAGCATGACTGAGAGGACCACTTGAATGCCCATAGCCAAAGATGGCTGGCTTGGGCACTTCAAGGCTCTGAACTGCATGATGGGATCTAGGATGCCAGAAGTCCAAGGCCAAGGGCTGGTGAGGGCGCTCACTTTGTGAGGACTCCTATCTTGCTGGTAGGGGGTCATCTTGTTTTGGCCTCCCAGAGCCTCTTTCCTGAGAAGGACAGAGAGGCAGAAGAAGATGGGCGAAAGTCCGAGCTCGCTAATAAAGGTACTGATCCCATCAAGTCAGGGCCCCACCTTTATTGAGTTTATTATTTGTTTATTAATTCATTTTTGGTTTTCAAGACAGGGTTTCTCTGTGTAGCCCTGGCTGTCCTGGAACTCACTCTGTAGACTGGGTTGACCTAGAACTTAGAGATTCACCTGCCTCTGCCTCCCGAGTGCTGGGATTAAAGGCGTGTGCCACAATGCAGGCAGAACCCCACTTTTATGGGGTTTTTGACCCCCCTTGACCTCAGCGATGCCCCTTGGGCTCTGTCTGTAAGTCCAATTTCTTTAAGGACTTAGCTTTGGCACGAGGGAGTGAGGAGTGGGTCGTCCCCACCGGTCTCTCAGCTTCAAGGACGATGCCAGGCTAACAGCTGGTGCTCAACAGACGCTTGGTAAAGGACCAGTGGACAAGTGGGTGAGCACCTCGGACCCTGCTCTGCTGGCCATGGGGTCTGCACAGGAGCCAGGATGATTTTAGGGGTGCATATTGAAGAGGGCCACAGGGTCTCCCTCAATAGCCCAAATAGGAAGCAGAGAATAGGAAAGTCTGTAGACATGTCATTAAAGTGATGGCCTCACATCTGGACACACAAGGGTATGGGATTTAGGTTGAAGATGAGAAGCAGCCTCACAGAGGCAGATGTTCAAACTGTTAATTAGAGGGTGGGGCCATGGCTCAGTGGTAGAGCCCCCGCCTAGTATTCATGAGATCCTGGGTTCAGTCTCCAGCACTGAAAGTAAAATGAATAAATTAAAAATAGGAATGGCAAGATAGCCATTCCTGGTAAAGATGCTTGCAGCAAAAGCCGAAGGGCCTGAGTTCAATCCCTGGAGCGTACATGGTCGAATGAGAGAACCAAATCCTGAAAGTTTTTCTCTGACCTCCCACAGGGGTGTTTTGGTATACAAAGCAACACACACACACACACACCACATAAATAAAATGAGGTGTGCACATGTTTCTGCTGTAACATACAGCCACAGCATGGTGGCTTAAAATAAGTCTCCTAAAGCCAAAATGAAGCTGTTCCCACAGCTGCCGTCTGGAGGCTCCAGAGAAGAATCCATCCCTCCTCTTATCCCATTCCTGCAGGCTGTCAGTGATCTCAGACCTGGGCCTCTAAGATCAGAGGTGAGAGAGAAGGAAGGGCATTCCCGACAGAAGGCAACGGCGGTGCAAAGGCTAGGAGGCGCCCAGGAGGAGAAAGCAAGTGGAATATGGTGGAGTTGAAATAGCAATGGGAGTCAGAACGCTTGGTGAATCGCCTGACAAAGTTGGGAACTGTGGCAGACGATGTACAGGCTCTGAAGCTGGACGCCACCAGCACCCCTACGGCTGCCTCTGAAAAACGGGCCTCACTGTAAAGGAAGAGAAAAGGCAGGGACATGACAAGTTTGGGGGCGCAGAAGCTGCTAGACAAAGCAGGAAGACAGGTGGGGGGGTACAGAGAATACAGTGAGAGAATACGTTGTTCTGGCCGGACCCTGAGACACAGGGGCTCTGGAGGGAAGTGGGTGATAAGTGCGGGCTGTGGTTTTTCACCCATCTGCAAAGAAGCCTCGGCCTCTCCCCGACTTCCCCTCCCGCCCCACAGAGCTGCCTTGTTTGTTCCCCCATCATTCGTTTATGATGGGAAAGGCTGGATTTCCCCTAACCCAGCAGACTCCTCTTCCCTCTGCCTAGCCCGACCCTCCCACCTCGGGAAGCCCCGTGCGGCCTCCCAGAATGTCCCAGAAGGATGAAACTGTTGGTACCTTCTGTTGCCCATTCATCCAGCCAGAGGGGTCTCCAAAAGAGGAAGGAGGTCACCCGCAGTCACCCAGCATGTGGTCAGCTTGGGACACTGGGACTTCATCGCCCTACTGTCCTCCCAACACCCCCAAAAGACTATCTTTGATATGAGGAACAAGTTTGTAGAGGAGGTTCTGCAGGAGAGGAGGGTCTGGATTCACACCCAGGTCTCTGAAGGATGACTTTGCTGTAAGCTTAGAGGCGAAGGAGACAAATGGACAGGACCTGACCCTGTCTTCTCACTTCTGTTGGGGAGAAAGAAAGACGTATCCCCAGACAGATAGGCATGGCCCAGCAGACAGGAGAGTTCAGGAGGCTGTAGGAGCTAAGAAGAACCAGCGAGGACTTCCTGGAGGAGGGGAACGGCTGCCTGGGAACTAGAGAATGTATGGGGCGGATCAGCCCAAATGTACCCTAGAGACAGAACAGTGTACAAAGGTGCAGAGCCAACGGGAAGCGTGAGGCCTTGGAAATAGGTCTATTGCCCTCTCCGGGTAAACAGTATGCCTCAGTAAACAGTTAGGCACAACAAATATTCACTCGTTCATTGAATAAACACTTCCCGGAGTTCAGACGGACAAGGAGACACCGCGGCGACTACCAGGGTCCCACTTGGATTGCGACCTTGACCTAGGAGTCAAGGAGCCAAGCAGAAGGAAGGAGAAGCAGGAAGGATGTTCCAGGCAGAGGGGACAGCTTATGAAAGGAGGTCGTTTCTCGGGACGACGTTTTACCAACGGCTCCCGGTTCCTCTGAAGCCTGGGGGTGCTCAGAGAGGCCTGCTAGCTCTGTCCCATTGGCAACTCCTCCCTAAGGCACTGGGAGCCACAGAATAGCGAACACAGGAGGAAAGAGTGGGCTTGTGTTTCGGAAATAAGCCTCCTCGATGCCCCCGGAGGATGAACACAGAGAAGCCACAGAACCACAGCGGCAGGGGTGGTCAGAATTTGCACCCGGTGCCAGGGAAAGAGTTCAGAGAGACCTTTCTCGGTTCCCTGGCTGTGGGTGAGACGTTGGCTCGCAGCAGCCTCCAGGTGGCGACAGTGAGCCGCCCGCCGAGCTTCTCCAGCATCAAAGGTGGGTGGGCCCTGAGCAAGACACTGAGGTCCCCCTGTCGCCAGCCCACGCTCCCTGACCGTAGTTAGAGGACCCCAGAGTAGATTCCTGATCGTTCCCTTCTGCCTGGAGCACTTTCTCCCCATCAGACTATAGGAAGTCCACGGTGCCACCACCAGACCGCCCCACACTCCTGTGAAACTGTCCAAGGCTAGGGTTGTCGGTATGGGATAGGGTGGGGTTTGGAGTGGGCTGTCACTTCTCACATCAAGGGTAGGAGGCATACCTGTTTTGTTATAGAGAGGGAAACTGAGGTACGCAAGGGACAGCGAAGCCCTGGCACTCCGCGGTGCTTCAGATGAAGCAGCAGACGCCTCTGTGCGCACTTGGGCCCCAGTCTGCACCTGCCCCCAAACCCTGCGCCCTGGGTAACGTCCCTGGCACGAGGACCAGGGGAATTTCTGCCCCGCCGGCCTCTGGGCCACTCGCCTGCCCTTCCCGGCGCCAGTCACAGCTTGGGGTTAAAGTCCAGAGCCCTGCCCGAGCTCCTGGCTAATCGGAAGGGAGATGAGGCCCCACTTCCTGCGGGGACTCCCCTGCTACCACAGGTCTCACACCCATCCTTGGGAGGCAGCTCCTCCAGAAAATTATCCTCCCGTTACTGATTCTGTAGCCTAAGCCTGGAGCTCCCCACCCCCCAGCCTCAGTTTCCTCTTGCAGTGAGCTCCAGGGAGCAGGAGAGTGAGATTTTAGCGTGAATGTGGGGTCCCGAGAACTGCTGTGTGAGACCCCGAACCAGCTAGCTGTTGCTCCTTTGTTTTGTTTTGTTGTTGTTGTTTTTCCCATTCTGTGAGAGTGTCTCACTATGTATCCTGACTGGCCCAGAACTCACAGAGATCCCCCTGCCTCTGCCTCCTGAGTAGGTTCTGTTGCAGTACTGGGACTTGAGTCCAGGGCCTCCGGCTTATTCCTGGAGGGTTCTAGTATCCAACCCCTCATTGGTGGATTCTGGAAAAGCCCTATACCACCAAACTACACTCCTGCCCATACCCTATTGCAATATCCAAGATGTTTAGAAGACTGAGGCAGGAGGAGTAAAACCCAGGCCAGCGAGGGTAAGCTGGGGAGCCTGCCACAAAATAAACAGCGAACACTGTGGAGACGACTCAGTGGGTAAAGGGCATTCCGGACAAACATTCAGACGCGAGATCGGATCCCCAGTGTCTACAGAAAGGCAAGACACTGTAGTATACACGTGTGACACAGCAGGAAGGATCTCTGGAGCTAACTGCCCAGCTAGTCTGGCAGAAACGACTCCGAGTTTAGCAAGAGTCTCAAAATAAAAGGTGAAAACCAGCAGTGTTGGCAGAAGCCTTTGATCCCAGCACTCAGGAGGAGCAGGCGGATGAATCTCTGTGAGTTTGAGGTCAGCCTGATCTACATAGCAAGTTCCAGGACAGTTGAAGCTAGGAAGACATATGAACCAAGTTCAAAGACAGGAGGGAACATGAGGAGACATGAGGGGCTTTCCTTCTTTCTCTTCCCATGGCCCTTTAGCCTTCTCTTTTTTATTTTTGGAGGGAGGTTTTGAGGCAGATTTCTCTGCATAGCCCTGGGTGTCCTAGAACTCACTCTGTAGAGCAGGTTGGCCTCAAACTCATAGAGATCCACCTGCCTCTGCTCCCAAGTGCAGGGATTAAAGGTTTGTGTCACTGCATTCCAGTTTATTGTTTTAGTTTAGTTTAGTTTAGTTTAGTTTAGCTTAGTTTGAGACAGAGTCTTGTGTAGTCCACACTGGCCTCAAACTCACCGCACCCTCAAGGGTAGCTTTGAACCTATGACCTTCCTGCCTCTCCACCACCACACTATTTCTTGGGTTGCTGGGGACTGAACTCCATGTGTTACGTGTCTAGGTGAATGCTCTACCAATGAACTACATCCTAGCCTTGTTTTTTGCTTTCTGAACTCAAACCCACTATGTAACCAGGGCTAGCCTCCAATTTTTAATCCAGCTGCCTCCACCTCTCAGCTTCTGGGGTCACTGCCATGCCTTACCATGCCCAGCTCAAGTTTGCCTGTATTTATTTCTACTTATCAATTTTTTATTATTTTTTCATTCACGGGTTTGGAGTCTGGAGCATCACACAAACACGCTACCCTGAGCCCCAGTCCCAGAGTAGATATGTCAAATATCCGCCTCTCCCATCAGGACTGTGCGATCTTTCAATACATCTTTAGCCTCTCTGAACCTTGACCAAGCACATAGGGTAAAGCTGACACCTCAAGTGTCCCCGTAGATCTGCCCAGGACATATGTCCAAACCAAACAGGAGAACCTTATGAGTTTTTAGGGTGGAACTGGCCACAAAGCCCAGAATAACTGCCAACATGTCTGTATTGCAAGGGGGTGGGGCCTGCGCCTGGCACTGCCAGGCCCCAACTGCTTCCTTTCAACCCGATCCTCCTTTGGTGACCTGGGAAAGTGAGCAGAGCCATCCCTGGGTTGCACAGGGTATCATCAGGCCACATTTCAGGGTTGTAGTTTGTAAACTAAGCATGGTAAGCATGGTGGCTCACTCCTTTAATCCTAGCACCTGCCAAGGGACAGGTGGATCTCTGTGAGTTCAAGGTCAGCCTGGTCTGCAGAGTGAGGCCCAGGACAGGCAGTACCACACAGAGAAACCCTGTCTGTAAAAAACAAACAGAAAAAAAAGGATCATTGTGTGTTTTTGCTTGGGGAATTTTTTAAACATTTACTAATGGGTGGAAGAGATAGTTTGAGGGAGTCCATGCTCTCCTATTGTACCAGGTCCAGGAATCGAACTCAGATCCTTAGCCTTGGCAGTCAGCTTCTTTACCTACCGAGTCATCTCACCGGCCTAGTTCAGAGCACGTAGGAAGGTTTAATAGTCCAACACCATAGTCTACATCTCTGTTTTGTTTTGTTTTGTTTTGTTTTGTTTTCTGTTTGTGTTTTGATTTTGGGGGTTGGTGTTTCAAGACAGAGTTTTTCTGTGTAGTCCTGGTTATCCTGGAACTCTCTGTGTAGACCAGGCTGGCCTCGAACTCAAGAGATCCTCCTGCTCTGGCTCCCAAGTGCTGAGATTAAAGGTGTGCACCACCACCACCTAGCATTGTTTGGCTTTGTTTGACATAGGGTCTAATATAGACAAAACTGATTTCAAAGTACCTAGTAGCCAAGGATGACCTTGAACTCCTGATCCTCCAACTACCTGAGAGCTGTCACACCCGTCTCATGACTTGCACTGTCACACTAGGCTAGCACTGTCACACTAGGCTAGCACTGTCACACCCGTTTCATGAGGTGCTAGGGGTGGATTCCAGGGCTTTGTGCATGCTAGGCAAACCCTCTACCTGCTGAGCCACAGGCTCATGCTTTGAAGCTGAGGATGAATGGATATGAATGGGAAGGCAAGGGGGAGGGGCCTCAGCTTAGAGACCACGCAGAAATAGGAGCTGCACCTGTCCCTGGCGCTACAATGCTGGTGGAAGACTGGACTTTCTCCTGCTGCCTATCCAGGCCCAGAGCGGCGACCTAGGAATCTGTCCATGGGACAGGGAAGCCAAGGCAGGCAGGGGCCAGGAGAGTGAGGCCAGGAGTTGGGAGGATTCTGGCAGGGGAGAATGGAAGCAAGAGTGACTCCAGGCACAAGAGGAACATGGACCGGAAGTCTAGTCTGTGTCCTCACTTCTCGGTCCCCATGTCCACCCAGGAGGCCAGACCTTCATATTTCCTTGTTTCTCAGGTTCAAGATCATAATGAGTCTGATGCTCACACATAAGACACCTGGGTCATTCCTTCCTTTTAGAGCTCCCCACCCCCAATTTTTCAGTGCCAGGGAAGAAACCCAGGCACTCTATTACACTAAGCAGGAAGCCACATCCCAGCCCCTCACTGGGGGATTCTAGGCAGGGGCTGGGGTATGACTCAGTGGTAGAGCCCCTGCCTAGAATCCCCCTGTGAGGGGCTGGGATGTGGCTCAGTGGTAGAGCCCCTGCCAATTATGCCCAAGGCTCTAAATTCACTCCCTATTGCCTAGCTTCCTGTTGGCTTTGGTTTAACTGGACATACTGGAAAAGGTGTTCAATGCCCTCAGTGATTTAGGAAATGCTCCTTATACCTGTGGGAAATTCTGACATACGCACTCATACACTAACACTAAGATGACTCACAGATCAGAAGCATCTAGAGCTAGCAAGGATGTGAAGCAACTGGAAGTCCCAGCAGACACTGGAGATCAAAGTAGAGACTGACTCCACCCCATGAGAAGACTGGCAGATAAATCAGTTGCTTGACAGAGTGGCGCCCAGCAGGCTCAGTGTTAGCAATGACCCACATGATGGGGGAAAGAGACCGACTCCAGTCCATTGTGTTCTGACCTCCACGTGAGGGCCATAGAGCACACATGCCCACAGACACACACATATTACACACAAATACAAATATTCTTTAAAAACTGTGTGGACTCCAGGAAACAAACGCAGCCCCTGGTCAAAAGCCAGAAAATAGAAATGGTCCATAAATCCAGTAGCAAACAAAAAAAAAAAAAAAGGACCAACCAATGAATACTCGCATGTCTGTGTAAGGGGCTACTACACTGCAGGAAAGGGTGATTTACCAGCAACTGATGATAGAAGATGAGGAACCTGAGGGCTGGAGAGACGGCTCAGTGCTTAGGAGTCAAACACAGGTTGCCTGGTGAGTAGGGGCTGGAAGGCAGACTGCGGACTGTGGAGCCTAACCAAAGCAGGCGACCCTGATTCTAAACTGATCGCTCCTATCATATTTTGTGAAATGGTTATGTTGCATTAAAAATATTTGTCTACTTAATAATTTCAGGATTTTGTTGTTGTTGTTGTTGTTGTTTCAAGACAGGGTTTCTCTGTGTTGCCCTGGCTGTCTTAGAACTCTCTCTGTAGATTGGGCTGGCCTTGAACTCAGAGATTTGCCTTCCTCTGCCACCCGAGTGCTGGGATTAAAGGTGTGTGCTACCTCCACCTGGCTATAAAAATATTTTTTAATTCAAAGCTTTGTTTTCGACCGGGAGGTGGTGGCGCATGCCTTTAATCCCAACACTCGGGAGGCAGAGGCAGGCGGATCTCTGTGAGTTCGAGGCCAGTCTGATCTACAAGAACTAGTTCTAGGACAGGCTCCAAAGCTACAGAGAAACCCTGTCTCGTAAAAAATAAACAAACAAACAAACAAGAATCTTCTACTGTTCCAAATCTCCATTCTTGGACTTCTGGGATATTTGGGAGACAAGATCTTTGAGAACGTATGAACATCTGTAGCCCACAAAAATGCTAATTTAGCATCAGAGACACATAAAAGATTTAATTTTCCCGGAAGTGACCTAAGGTGTGTAACTTCACGTGAACACAGGGGCAGATGTGCTAAGTTCAAGACTGAGCG